CACTGTACGAGGTTGCCGAAAGTGCGAGTTTCTTGCACTCCCAGCTAAACAATAAACTACATGTGTCAAGTGCCAAAAAGTGCAATATTTCTGGATTTACGAAAATGATGGAACAATCAAAGGAATTAAACATTTGCTTTAAAGTCAATAATGACATGCTGTCATCAAAACTTCAATCAAGTGAAATAGATTTATTCAATAAATTGATAATGTGTCAAAAATGATAATACGTCCAATTCAGCAGAGGTAGATTTACTACCTCCGTGAGTTCTATCAGACGGATAGAATTGTGAAATTGCGTAAATATCAATTATTTTATAAGCTGTTGCTCTTGCAACACGAAAATGACTTTTGAACTGTAACAATAATATATAATTATTTGTAGCACTTATATACAACACATGTATATATTTTTCACATAATACAATACCAATACAGCACAATAAACAATACCTGTATAGCAACAATTAAATTATTAATAAATAATAAATATATAATCACGACTTACTTATCCGTAAGATTATGTACAACATTAATAAAATTTTCGATTTTTGGAATTTTTTGTGGATTTCCTTTTGTTATTTCATTTTCATCACTGCTAGATGATGAAGAAGATAGCAAATCTAGCAATTGAAGAGCATTAAAAATATCGCGCGCTGCCATCTTGCACTCAACCGACACCGTCTCTTAGAGCTCGTGTCGAATTTATGCACTAACGTGCAAAAACTCGGCACTCAACTTCTCACTGAAACAGCGCGCTCCGTCTCCGTGCGCACCGAAACGCCCAGTGAAATACGTTGCCCTCATCTAGTGCGCACCCAGTGCACACCAGTGCGACCAGTGAAAAACGCTATAAAACATTAAAGTGTTTTATTTCTTGTCTTTATTTTTGAAACGCTCAAAAGTGTTTAATTTTTAAATACATGCGGACATGCGAAACGTTAAAAAGTGTTTAGTTTTGAAAAGTGTTTTATTCGGAAACATATAAAGGTGTTTTCAAATAAAACACTTTTCCGAATTTTAAAAAGTCTTAAAATGAAATATCAAAAACCGTTTTATTTAATTTATTTAATTAATTTAATTTTTTTATTTAATTTATTAAGTTTACAAACAACACATAAGGTCCAAAACTTGGAAAGCTTTTGATTATTGTGTATGATTTTGTTCAACAATACTTTATCAAAGAAATCTAGCACCGTCTTGTAATTTGTTGGATAATGGGAGTCCCACGCATAATAACATCTCAACAAACAAAGAATGGATTTGGCAGCAGTTGGATTTTCAACTTTTATTTTTATAATATTATTGGTACAAATAAAATCTGCTAATTTTCCCTCTTTATCGAAAAATTTTACTATTATGTCATAATGATAAAATCTTCAAACTTTAATTCTGGTCGTCCTTAGCAACGCCTCTCAATGCACTTCATAATTCATCAGAATATAACGTCTTGAAAAAAAATGTTTTACTTTAATAAACGTTTAATTTCAGTAAGGTGTTTTGTTTTTCGGTGTGTGAAGAAAGTAAACGTTTAACTATCATAGGGCTTGTTCGTTTTAGCTGCACTGGGGCAGCTCTGGGTCTGCTCTAAACAAGATAATACAGGACAAACTATTTATCTGTCCTGTATTATCCTGTGTAGAGCAGAACCAGAGCAGCCCCAGTGTAGCTAAAACGAACAAGCCCATAGTAAAACACTTTTTTCCGTTTGAAGAAAAACAGTAAACACTTTTGAGCGTTTTCAATATTTTAAACACCAGGGTATTTAGATTTAAAACACTAAAATGTTTAAATCTGAAACATTTTTCATTATTGAACACTTGTTTTGTTAAATTAGTAGCGTTCCGCTGCGCTATCCTCAACAGGTTTTGAAGACAAATTCAAAAAGGGCGCCACCTGCCTGCACTCAGGCTGCGCCCCGTTGTCTTGACGATCATCATTAGTTCAAAGTCAACAAATCTGGAGAAAATGGGATAGAACAAAAAGAAAAAAGGGGGAGGGATTCTCCATCCGGACGAGACAGCATAATTACAATCGAACTTCACGGTAAGCTCGTTCGATTATTAAATTATGCAAGGTCTCGTCCGGATGGATATAATTGTAGATATTCAAAGCACAGATTTGTTGTAGATTCCGTACGATGCAAAATAAAACATTGTTTATTTGGATTAAACTGACCATATATAAGTAAGAATAAATGCAAAGGTTGCGTACAAGTATAGATGTTTCACAAATAAAAAATGCATATGCCGTAAAATTTAAAAGACCTTAAGTACTACTCAAGACTGTGTCCTGAAACGAAGCGCCCTTAAGAAGCGGGCGATTATAAAAGCGAGCAAAGATGTCCGAGGAACTGCTCCAGCCAGCCGTACGCCTGATCTCGTCCACACTAACACCTCTACTAGCGGCGAGGGAAGTTGAAGCGTGACGAGTAGAGTGTGCGGAAAAGATACTAGTATCAATTCCGGCTGAGCCTAGCAACTAAAAAATTAAATTATGTCGTTCATAAAAGGTTGAGTATTTAATTTTTAAGTAAGAAAACGAAAAGAACTTTTGGGTTCAACCTAATAATTATTAAATAAAAATATGCATTAAAAGTAAATAGTTATTGAATAGTTATTGAAATAGAATGGAAAAAAATTATCTCTTATATCTAATGTAAAATTATTCCTTACATTATAACAGTTATGTTTACGAATCATTTTATGTCAATATTTAAAAGTTTATTTTAATACAAAATACACATTATAACATATCATGCAAATTATCTTCTATAATAGATACAAATAGAAATCTTATGCCGCATACAAATTTATATGTAACTTGCAAATCTTGGTAACGATTTTTCTATTTTTTATAGATTTCTATATATTTCCCTTTGCTCCAAATAATTGTTGCGAAATAGACAAATAATACGTCACGCTTACGCAATGTAAAAATGAAAATCTGCGCTTTGTGATCAAAATATTTACAAATTTCTGTTCAGTGCCGCTACCTGTTCTACATCAATTTTTCAGCACTGTCGGTAAACAACATTGCTGTTTGGTGCATGTCTGTAATATACAACTAGATAAAATTAAATCTAAACTAAATCGTATTGATATAATATAATGAAAAGTAAAAATATAATTTACTTGCAACATAACTCTTTTAATATAAAATATAAATAAAATTTAATATTCCAAGAAATAATAAAAAGTAAGTTATTTATTATATAAAAAATATATGTATATATATATAATTACAAAAATAAATTTGCAAAACATACAATATATTTTATAACAAATGGTAACGAATTGTAAGTAGAGTAACTGTTATTTTGTCTTGAGATGGAATCGTTTGTGCTTATTTGATTTAATATATCTCATTCGCAATAATATTTTACTAATTTTTGTTTTTGTTATTTTTGCGGAAAATGTTATAATATATTATATATTTACAAAAGCGCAATTTTTTTTTCTTTTTTACCAGCAATTTTATCACTAATTTTATTTAGTGCTAATCTTTTTTAGTATTCATATTTATGAATAACAAAATACGTGGATTTGTTTTAAACTTGAAACTAGATTATAGTATTATGTCATTAAATTTATTTATAGAGCACATTTCTGATTCACGATTTGTGAATATAGCACAGACATATATAGAACAGTATATAGAACAGTGATGTTCTTTATCGGCAGTGTTGAAGAATAGATATGGCTATGTAGTTCTAATTGTAAAATATATCCAGATGACGATAGTGAAGAGTGTCGGTAAGTTTTTTAAGTTGAGATGCTCTGAGAAAGTTTTTTTATGAGTTAGTTATACGTAGATAAAAAAAGATATGTTTATCTTTGTCACAAAGTGAATGTCATTTTTATTTTTGTCGTGTTATCTTAATATAATTATGATATAATAAGATTATCATATCAATCTTGACTACTGCTATTGCATTTAAAATTTGTTTATTTAAAATAGTTTTAGAAATTGTTTTCGACTTAAAAACCATAATTCAAGTTACATTAAAGATTTATTGTAAGAATCTTATTATATTTATAAATTATATTTATAAATTGCTTAACAGGAATTATAGTATTTCGCAAAAGAAATTTCTTATTTAATCGAAAAAAATAGATGAGTGGAATCCACAGTTTGACGGCTCTGAACTTTAACTCCATATTGAATGTTTATACTGGTTACGTGACGCTGAGTAATGCTTGTAATGCGCACGCGCGGTTCCAGCTGGCGCCTCGGCCGGTCGGACAATAGTCGATGTCGAAGTCTCGAGAAGGTGGGTTCGTTCGCGCGCTTGTCACCCCTTGCACCCCACTGTCGGATATACTTGTCGCACGCGATAAACGCACGCATATACACATGTGAGGACGCGGGAACAATTGTACGATTATCGTGACATCCGCAACAGGAAATAACGATAAGGAGTACGAAAGAACAAGGTTAGTCGAACTAATAAGGAAATTCGGTGCGGCCGACACGCGCCGCGCCGTATCGTTTCTCTCGTTCTTTCGGAGGGGAACGACACCGCGCGTTCAATGATATCGCTATCGTGGACATAATTGGTGAATTGCTTGTCTTCTTTGCTGCGATTAATTGAAATATTCAAATTTGATAGCACCCACGAAAACATATGACGATTTTTATCGAATGTCAAGCATTAGCTTAATAAGCGGAATTAGTTTTGAAAACCATTTGTTTATAGCATCGGATGGCAGGACTGGTATATCTCGCATAGAACGATCTGACAGTGATAAAGTTCTCATTCTCTTTCTCGCGTTTCTGCAAGTAACGGTTAGATACGCGGCGTCGCTTATTCGGCTTATATTATAATATCAAACGGAAAAAGAATTGCTTCCGCTGTTCTATTGTAAAACTAGTGTAAAAACTTGCACAAATGTGTTTTCTACTGTAGAAAAATTATAAGATTGATCGTATTAGTTGTCAGTTTTTTTTATTGTTTATCAAATTTTAATTTAATTCAAACTTGATCTTTGATCTTGACGCGAAATTAATTCGATAAAATATAGTTTAAAATCTTGAAAGATTACACGATTTCGACAAATTCGTGTGAAAATTGTATTTTCAGTTCTTTTTTTTTACGTGATTGATTCTTAAAAACGGTTCCACTGGGTCGAATTAATATTTCGGAGCATGAAGTAGAAATGTTTAAAACAGTACATTTTTTATAAATTATGATAGAAAAACATATTGCAAAAATAATAGTTGTTACTATAGTTCGAAGATCCGAGAAAGTTCCCGAAAGGTTCGGAAATTTTCTCGAAATTTTTGGCAAGTTTCCCCTGAGCCAAGGGAACTTTAAATTATATGTTAAGCAAAAAGTAGCGGAGAATATTTTTTGCATAAAAAAATCACAAAAATATAAAAAAACAAAAGATTTACAACTATAGGTAAAAATGAAGTCTAAAGATGGAGAACATATCGTTGTATTTATGGTTAAACGACAAAAACATTTTTTTATTGCAAACAATTTTGCAACCATCAATGTTTGCGATGTGCATTCCGTTTTTCATTATGCGTATATATATATCATAATAGAGTTTGTCGTAATAAAATACAACTGCGTGTATTCTTCACTGTCAGATGAGAAACGAAGACAAAAAACGATAATAACGGAAAACGCGAATACAATTATGCTTTTTACAAAATACTACGATGAATGATATCGAGCCGTCTCGCATTGTCTTTGTCTTTCAAACGCGAGAAAGAGAGGAAAAGGGAAAAAGGAGAAAGAACCATCATAGAATATTATATTTACATTTGATATTTATAATTGATTTACATTATTATATTTACATTTAATATAATTTACTACGATATTTTGTGCCACATTAATAACATATATTAGTGTTTTTGTTGCTAAAAGAATTGCAAGAAAGATTACTAGCAATGACAAGCAAAATTTTCATAATAATATTTGGAACGAAGTGTATAGCAGATTTACTACGATCAGATCTTCCATTAATCATTGGTTCTTTGGCGTATTTGGCGTATATGATTTTTTCTTAGCGAAACTTTGAAGTAAAACTCTTGTTTGATATTTTTTTATTTCACCATTAATCATCTTCTGTATTTTAAAATAATTGAAGAGTAGCTACAAGCACAACAATATGCTATCTATAGAACATTTGCAATAGCAAATAATTTATTTAAATATTATAATTAAATCACAAACAAATGGTGGCAGTGCCGTTTTAATAATATAGCAATGCAGAATACTGCTAGTAGTGCCTGTGAATTTCTACGAAATTTTCACAAGATATTGGCTGTGTGTGGTATCGCACCGATAAGGACCGTGATAATGTTTATTATCGATAAAGGCTACCTACTGACTTTACACGCTCATGTGATACGCATATGACAAAAGAAAAAATTTTCTACTATTTTTTTCTCTTTTATTCTGCCATATTCAATACGTGTTAAAGAAAAATATATGGCACATGCTACATTTAAATATATGTTTATGATAAAATTGATCACTTATTCGTCATGCAGTTTCATCATTAATCGTCATACGTGAACGCACACAGAGTGTATATAACGCTCCAAAAACACTGCAAAGAAATAATAATCAAATTAAAAATTTGAGACAAGTTCGAGTTATTTCGAATGTATGGCGAGGATTAAAAAATGCAGTTCTTTTTCTATCTCTCTCGTTCTCGCTTTTAATTAAACGTTGATCCTTGCCTGTAAAATACTTCCTTTTCCCTTTAGCCGAGCCAACAGGACGCTTGCTTTTCAATTTCTCTCGCAGCTGTTGCCCGTTGCAGCTGACGGTGTGTGCACGTGTACACCTTGCCACTGCTTGCTACATACTTGTGACCTGGCGGGATCGATGAGATAACCCGGCGCCTATTTTCCTTTGCAGCACCGAATTCGATAGTCGGATCTCACTGCTGTCAGGTCAAAAGACGTTCACCCAAATAAACATCAAGTTTGTAAGCACTGTCTGCGTGGATTACCAGGCCTAAGCTTGCATTTCGCCATCTACGTTGCGACTGACGGTTTATCTTCTACGACTTCCGAAGATCTTACGACTACAGGATCATAAATTCTCCCACGACAACGTTCATCAAAACGTCCGGCGAGCCTCGTCAAGATAATAGAAGAATCGAGACGCACGATTGGAACCCGTGCCTGGCCTTCGTTTCTAGCCGAAACTTTCCTGAGTGATCTTAAATCGCTAAAGATGGAGCAACCCTTTCGGATTATTGATCTGAGCTCTTGGTAAAGGCTGATCCAACGCACATCCTTGAAGGTCAGCCTGAGATTCGGCGGCGCTATCACCGGCCGCGCAACGAAACGAATGTGCCGAAGATCGGAGTGGGAAAATGCTCAGCTGCTTGCGCTGGACATGGGATAGACGATGACACTCCGTACGACGATGATGACGGAGTGATAGATTGAAAACGGGTAAACGCAAAATGGATTGGATGCCTCAAATCAGGTAGCCAGGAACGATGCAGATAATCATGCGATCACCAATCAACCGTCAAAAGGATTTATCCTAAGGCTTCGCTTTATAAGCAACATATCAACTTATCCGATTGGATCTTTGCACGCCCTCAAGAGCATCGTCTTAACATTTTTATTTCGCGAAAAATCTTTTCTCTCCTTCTCTTTCTTTCTTTTTTGCCGAAGAGGATTGACTCGATCCTCGTGATCTCCAAGACTGTTCTGCTGTTCACTCCATGTTATCTACGTTCCTTTCGACACGGTAAAGACTGAAGCCTACGTCAATCGGTCTATCGGGAAATTTACGTAACTGAATCTCGCTCGCTCTCTTCTCTCTCTCTCTCTCTCTCTCTCTCTCTCTCTCTCTCTCTCTTTCTCCCCCTCCCTCCCTCTCTCTCCCTTTCTCTCTCACTTTCTCTTGTTCTTGCTCTCTTCTTGATCTATCTCCCGCAGCGATGGTTATTTGAGAAATCACTGTCAAAATTCGAGAAGTCACACGTCTAGTGCGAAGCCCTTGCGCGTCCCACACACACGTTCAACATTTTCATTTTGAGGAACGTTTCGACTGAGCAGAGTACGAAGACTGATTTATTATCGCCCTGTGCTACATTTATTTGATCGACAAAAACGGATCACACATACGCATACATATCCTGTGAGTTCTTTGCAATTCCGACAGTCGTTAAATTTCGATAATCGCACGTCAGTTGACTAAATATTATACGTGTTACGAGACAGATTATATATGCTGGTATATATATATAGTATGTATAGATATGTGTAAAAAGAAGGATGTGTATATATGTGTATGTGCATACACGACTGCGAAAAAGACTGCCTATGCTGCCTAATGTACACGAGGTATAACGGAAGTTAACCAGTGAATCCGTGTAAATTGAAGCACATCAATTTCCTTTCAAGATCAATGACGACAACAGTGACGATGCGAGTACCGGATGGTATGTCGCGATAAAGTAATCGATCCGTGTTGTGAACGCGTTATATTTGGTGATGCAAAGTGAGATCAGTGTTACTTCTGCATGAAGACGTAAGGGAACAGGATGGGTTGTGGACAGAGCAAAATCGGCAGTATCTATCCGAAGAACAAGAAAAACAAGAACAATAGTGCGAAGAAGAACGGCGACTCTCTCCGTGAGTAGACTTTAAAATTTTACAAAAGTTTGAGAAACCCGTTTCTTTCTCTTCATGTAGGTAATAACACCAACAGTATTTTTTTTCAGGACGGTGATTCTATTATTATTATTACTATTATTATTATTACAATGAAATTAGAATAACGTAACGTAATACGTATAGCAAGTATATACGTTATATATATATATATATATACATATATATGTATATGTTAACGTATACAACCGTTTTTAACCACTTCTAATATCTGACAGCAAGCTAATTAATTACATCTTTATTAATACAATAAATTATTAATTTAATAAATTTATTTTTTACGACAAATTTAATAAAATTTTCAAGTGATTGAGTGTTTTATTCTTATTCTTTTATTATAGTAATTTCAAAATCATTCATTAATTTAGGTAACTTATGATCGGATTATAATTTATTCAAAGAAAAAAATTTTAGTTCGAAAATAGAATAAAATTCATTAAAATTTCAATCATTCGAAGTAACTCGAGGCTCCTCTATAATTCTTTCCATCGTAAAATATCTATCTAGCGGAATCCTTTGAAATGCTTTGTGCTTCCACGTTCTCTATGCGCACTTATATGTTACTATGTAACAAAAGACTATAGTAATTCCATTTTGCTTGCTAATACAAAATTTCACTATTTCGTTGCAATTTCCGCTAAAAAGTATTTAAAAAATATTAATATAAATATTTAAAGTAAAAAGTAATTAAAAAATAATAATATAAGTATTTAAATAATATATTATTCTTGATGGTTAAATTTAAATTACAATAAAAGAAATTAATTATTAAATATTTATATTTATTTTTTTAGAGAAATATTAATATTTTTTTTCAGAAATTAATATTTTTATCATCAAATAATTTTTGTATAAAATACATTTATGAATAGAATAACATGGCAATTCATGTAATTTGCAAAGCGCACTCGAATTAGAAAATTTAGATTTTATCCAGTCGAATTTTTTGAACAGAGATTTTATTAATACAGCATGTCTAAAATAATATGACCGGCATTTTTTGTATTAAATTTATTTCAATAGCAAATGTTAGCAATTACAAAGTTCTTGCAGTAATACATGTGCTTGTAACTATCGTGTTATTTTATAAAAATGCATGAATTATTGAGAGTTCTACTTTTTTTAATAGAAAACATTGAATTATATAATTAATATTTTTAGTTTTTAAAAAATAGCACCTTTTCTAGAACTCAGTAAAACTCTAAAATTTTTGAAAATATGGTGTCCTAATGTCTTTGTTTAGAATCATTTTCTCTGGTTTAATTTTATCTGAACTCTCTGTATGTTTTATCTTTTAGGAATTATAGAATTATTAAAAATAAAGTTAGAACTTTTGTTAAAAGAATTATTGTATGATTATAGTCCGCTTTTACTTTTATCAATTATAAAAATTATTATTACTTTAAATACGATTTTTTATTAGGAAGTATAAAACAAAAACACTTGAACACAGCGTAGATAGAATGTGACAAATGGTTTTATTATAATAAAATTCGACTGACAATGAGATAAGCCGCTTAAGATATCGCTGTATTAATTCTACGATCTAGATCTAGGTCGACATGGTACAGTATAATTTAGTACGATCTTACCGCGAGCGTGTCAACGTACACATATGCACACGTATTCTTGATCGATTTGTAACGCTTTGAGGTGTTTGAGGTAGATTGGGCCAGGTTAGGTTACTTTAGGTTAAGCCGAAGGGCGTGTTACATTCTGACATTAGATTGGCATCTGGAATAGGTACAGCAATGATTAATCGCTCAATAGTGAATGTCCATTGAATCTGTTTACTTAATGATCATATATATGTGTAAAAATCATACAAAAAAATATATTTTTTTTAAATAAAAATGTAGTACAGTTACATCTGGCAAAAAATTATAATTTGAATGTCACTCGAATTGTAAAATAATTCGACATTATTTACGGTAATTAGTAGTAGTGATGGACTTAGATTATCGTGACGAATTTAAGTGCAGATGTACTTGACGCGTGATATGTAGGGTAGACCATTTTATTCAATACACGCAAATATCTCGAAAAGGAGAAGTTTTTTCAAAAAAATGTTTCAGATGAAAGTTTTATGGCTTCGAGGGGGAAAGATGATGACATTATCAATTTAATTGTAGATGGCGTCACTTTCGAGATTTCATTATAGCGACCATTTTTTTAAATGGAACACCCTATTTTTAATTCCAGAATTTAATAGGTGATGTCAAGAGCTTTTCAAAAGACTATAATAAAGTTATTTTTTATTAAGTACTTTTCGAGTTATGAGGCTTGAAAGTTACAGTATTTTGACATAAAATACAAAATATCTTGTAAAACATTCAGTTTTCGGGAATCTTACCTTAATACTTTTATGCACAAAATAATGAGACGAATCAATTGGTATAAAAAAAATACATCGTTGCTTAAAAAAAAAAATGTAATTTGCTACATGCAGCTACATACTTTTTTTTTAAAAACAGCACTGCAATTTATCTTACATCAAAATGTCCACATTATTATAAAAAAATTATGCATACCTCTCCGTTCATTAACACGAATAGCTTTTGTAAGCAACTATTATGCTTACAATAGAGTTCAGTTTGAATCATTTAATTTGATATATATTTGTTATGGTTTATCTCTTTTAATTTATAAGATAAAAGGGGGTGGCCACTTTTGGTGGGACATCCTGTATAGATTTATTCTTTTTAAAATTGACATAAGTTATAAAGATCTTTTTGTTGTCAGTATCTATTAAAATATCTATCTTAAAGTATCTTAAAATATCTATTAAAAATGTGTATTTTATCGAAAATGTAATTTTTGAAAGATTTGCAAAAAGAGAAGAAAATATATTACAGTACTTTATAATTTCATTATGATAATTTTTCTCTCATTATAAAATAAATTTAAATTATTGCAGTATGCTACTTATCTTTGTTTTAAATTGTTCAAAGAAAATATAACAAATAAACTTCAATTTAAAAATGCATTAATAATGTAATGAAATTAAACTGTAAAACGAGAAATATTTTAGAAAAATTTTTTATATTGTCGGAAACTTTTTAGCTTCGAAAAAACAATGAATGTGCAATCTTTATTTTCTCAATTTAATTTATATATATCATGTATATAAGAAATAATGTGATACAATATGTGTATTTTTTATTTGTATAATTAAATGCAATATAAACAGAGTGTCTGTCCATAGATGTCCGAGAAAATATCTTGCAACTGGTTGAAGTTACAAAAAAGTTTAATAAGAGAAATTTGCACGGTTCTGAGTCAGCTACAAAGTGCATGTAAAAAATTTTTTTTTACTCGTGACCTTTTCGAGTTATGAAGGTCAACATAGTTTCTTTAAATAGATATCTATAATTTTTTTACATATTTATATAGAAGGGGTCATTTGCAATCAAAATCGTATCTAGTGATAAATTGCTACTATGCATCGTTCACGAGATAAATGGCATTTTAGGTATTAAAGTAGTAAATTGAATTGTAAGTATTTTTGAATGTAGTTTGGAATGTCAAAGAGGTTAAAAAAGTAAACAAACAATGTTTTTTCATGAAATATTTATTAACACATAAATTGCTCGAAATTTTAACCATCATGTTTGATACAGCATTTAATGCGTTTTATAATTTTTCTCATTGTTGATTGCAGCATTTCTACTGTAATGTCTTCAACAGCTCTAGTGATCTTACGTCGTAAATCTTTATTTACAGTTGCATAGACAGTGTCCTTAATATATCCCCAAAGGAAAAAATCGCAAGGTGTCAAGTCCGCAGACCTCGGTGGCCATCGCATAAGGCTATTAGTATCTATTCAACAATTAGGGAATCTATCATTTAAAAAGTTGACTACAGCACGTGTATTGTGTGCTGGAGCACCATCTTGTTGAAAAATAATGTCTCGAAAGATTGATAATGGAAGATCGCGTAAATATTCTGAGAAAGTTGGTTGCAAATATTCCAAATATTGGTCACCATTAAGATGATCATGGAAAAAGAAAGGTCCAATAATTTTCGTTCCGATGATTCTGCACCATATGTTCACCGTAAATCTGCGTTGAAAGTCTCTATCTCTTGTCGTGGATTCACATTAGACCAAGTATGCATGTTATGTAGGTTTTCTATACCACAATTTAAAAAACAAAATTCGTCAGATCATAATATTTTTTTTAAGAAAATCAATGTCAGTGCGATAATTAACTCGAAGTCAGTGACAGAATATTAATCGGTGATCTGCATCTCCTTCGTGTAAGAATTGTACTAAATTATCACGAAACGATTTGAATTTGTATTTCTTTAATACAACGTGTACGTAATTTTTTGATACTTCTAAATTACGTGCTACTGTTCTTATGGATATACGTCTATTTTCAATAAAACTTAATAGCACATTTGTCTCTTTCTCTTCATCTGTTCTGACCGTTATCTCGTTAGCGATCCTCTTTGACGTAATTGATCTTCAACTCGAAATGTACGATTGTTTGGTATCCTTCGTTTTGGATATTTTTGTTGATAGAGTAACCGTGCTTCATTTTCATTACGCATACTTTAAATGTCACATCTCGAACATATCATACTTTTCAGAAATTGTAAACATCGTTATTTTCGTAATCTACAATATGATACGTATTCATTGAAAATATGTAGACGACTGGCTAATAGATTCATACTGTACTGTAATTCATACTCCATGCTATATAAGTACTTTATTTACAAATCAAGCAGCCGTCTATTTTGATGAGTTGAAGGTCAGTGATCCTATTCGACTTCAAAATATTATGTAGTCTGACGAATCTTGTTTTTCAAATTGTGGTATGGAAAACCAACTATTTTAATACTCAAGATGCTGATTATCTCGTAAACGATGCATAGTAGCAATTTTTCACTAGATATGATTTTGATTGCAAATGACCCCTACTATATAAATATGCAAAAAAATTATAGGTATCCAT